TCATTTTAAGCTATTGCAAAAGCAAATAACAATATTTACAGGGTAGAATATACATATATTGTACATGTCTAATTCAAATAAGAATTTATTTATATATTTTTATTAATTTTATTTAGATAATAATTATATTATTTAGAATTTTATTTAGAGCTCCACCGACAAGATCGTCGCTAAATTATGAATGAATAATAATTGCAATTTTTAGTACAGTTCGTTTAACTATATTAATAATAGCCTATATATACGAGCTGAGTTTCTTGTCAGTTCTTCTCATCTCGATATCATTCCGAACTGACGGTAGATTTGACATATCATAAGAGTCTGTAATAGATCTACATGAATAAAGATATTTTGAATTTGAATTTGAATTCGAATATAAAAGAAAGATAGCTGTGAGAAAATCTTATTACAGTCCGCCTAGGAAACTTGTGTAACGTGCGAACAGCTGTGTAATCGCATTATATTTGGCCATTGAAGCATTTTGAATTACAATTAAGTGTTACACGGATTGTTTCCCTAAAGTTATTTATGTACCTTTGTTAAACGTGAAGATCGTTTTTCATAATAATTTGTTGTAATATTACTTCTCGTAAAGCTAATTTAATATGTTAATTATTCTTTACAATGCTTGAGAAAATATATCATTTAGGGCGTGTTTTTATATGCATAGTTTATGACTAGTTATTTGTGATGATGGAATAGTGATTCTGAAAATATAAATGAGAATAGATTAAAAATTAATACGAGTAGTAGGCCGGCTCGTCCATCACAATTTTTTTTACTACGCAGTTGGCAAACAAACACGGTCCATGATTGTAAACGGTTACCGTAGTCTATGGACGCCTGAAACACCAGGGAAGTCACGTGTGCGTTGCCGACCCTTAAGAAACCTTAATATACATTTCTTGAAAAGCCTCATGTTGTAGTCTCGTGAGAGAACCTCGGCAGGTAGTTCATTCCACAATCTAAGTGTATGTATACATTGAAAAAGAGTGAGGATAGAGTTTCTTGTTAGTTCTTCTCGGCTCTACCTACATCTCAAACTGATGTTAGATTGGACTAACCCTAAGTGTCTATAATACATTTCTCCTCGTGTCTATAATAAGACTTATAATGGACACTTCTAATCTCATACACTATTTTCCTCATTCAACCTAACACATATACACCAATCATAATTATAAGTGCATAATATATTAGTTTATATGCGATTAATTAAAGTACTTTAGTACATATTTCAATACTTAAATATAATCAGGGATCATGCATGTTGGGTTTACAATAATAGTACATAGTTAATTTAAAACAGTTATAAGTACTCTAATTGTAAAGAAGTTTATGAGCCAAATTAAATAAATAAATATACCTATGTGAATAAAGATATTTTATATTGTTTTAATTTAATATACTTGTATTATTACCACAATTTCATTAATTTTATTTTGTTTACAGATGGACGCCGGTTTATGAAATCATATTCGTGTTAATGGTAAAAGGTAAGTGCACAAACTGTTATTAGAGGCTTAATTATTCTAAACTACACTAATTCTGGGACTCTATTGCAAAAATCCATTTGCAACACAAACTAAATAGTTTGCGATCACCAAGTTAGTTTCTGTGGCAACTAATAGGGATAACATAAATAAGAAAAAATACGTCACCGACAAATAACTCAAAGTTTTAATTTTAACGCGGACATTTTTTATACATATAGTTAGTAAAATCACGGGATCTTATCACTTTTTTTTTTATTGAATTCCCGTACTGGAAACGAAACTTGGGGACTCAATAAAAATAAGACGTGGTAGGATCCTGTGATTTTTACAATTATTAAAAATCATGGTATATTACCACTTATTTACACTTTTATACTATATAGTATAGTAGTGAGTGAATAAGTATATTTCTACCAGCATCAAATTCCAACGTAGTGGTCCGCTGTAATTCGTCGAACGTATTTGCTTAACCGCATTCCTTTGAAATGTCGACGGAGTTAACACAACGCTCTATTTCAATGATAATGGGGCAAAAGGTAAAAGGTAAAATGATACTGGACTTAGAGAAATATAATTTATAGATAGTAGTACTTACTTATTAAGTACATCATACTTTAGGTCATAGCCTTGGTGCTCTAACTGTTTAGCACAGCACTTTAGTTCTGGTGGTCGCGAGTTTGATTTCTCGCATGGTACAAACAATTGTATTCTTGAATATAGATGTTTTCTATGTATATTAGTTATTTTAAAACATGTATTTATGTTTTTATTTTGTATTTGTGTTTCTATCAGTTGTCGAGTACCCACAACGCAAGATTTGCTTAGTTTGAGACCAGATGGCGATGTGTAAACTGTATAGGGATATTATTATTACTTATTAATTGTTGTCTATAATTTTAATCTGAACTGGAGTTAAAAGAACGGTAGAATGTAAAGTATATGCTTGCACAGATCGCCCGATCCTAACTCGACAGATCGATTCGATGGATCCGATCTCAAATAGCGCTTTCTGCAGATTGATTCCCGTTATAATAAATTGAAAAATAATCAATAAAAATATAAGTGTAACAATATGTTCTCTAAAGAGTATATAGTCTGACAAAGAAATGAAGAAGTAGATTTCCTACCTATGTACCTTCCAACAAAGGTTCAATTCACAATTTTCAATATCTAGACTACAAAGTTAATATAAAAACGTTTTGTATAGTATCGATCGAGAATCAAACCATAATATTATGCAAAGGAACCTGCCTGCCACTGCTCTACGAAGGTCGTCAATAATAAATTCCTATTAATAATGTAAATGTGAAAGCGACAGTTTGTTACCTCTTGGCGCCTTCACGGCTCAATCAGGAACTCATGAAAAAGGCATACATATATATTTAGCTTTAAAAATTATAGCCACATATGCTAGTTTTCCGGGAAACTCGAAATAATATCTGATTCGTGGTTAGTCAAAATTCGACCAAAATTTCTTTATCTATATTACCCAAATTAACAATTAATATTATGTAAACATACTAGATTAATGTAATATGTTTTAAATTTAAAGATTAAACATGTAATTATTGACCGGAACTATTACTACTTAATGTTAATGACAATAATTTTACTGTTAATTAATTAATTAAAACTAAAATTTTCAATAAGTTCCGGTCACGTGGTTGTAATGTAGCTAATTGAGAATAAATCGAGTTAGTAGATACGGCAACATCCTGGTGAAACTCTGTTAAAACGAGCATTTCGTGATACATAAGATGCGGATAAATTAAAATTAATTACACGTCAGACAGGCGAGGAACTGTCGCGGTGTCGCGCGTCGCTTGTCGCCTGTCGCGGTGCCCGTTTCTACCTTATTGTGTTCAGTTCACACGGGAGAAAGCACATGTTCGCAGAAAATATATTGTATCTTGGGATGTGTTCACATTGTTAACGTTGATTTCTACTCATTATAAATATGATAGGTAACTAGATTTTAGTTCTATAATGTAGATTTTGATCAGATTTCTCTAAAATATCAAGTTTTAAATTACTAAAATTCGAAGTAGACTATACTATAAGATTTTAGAGGTATTGTGTACATGTCAAATATTGTTCTAGCTGGTATCACATTAGTTTAAGCTGCTTTTTTGTACGTTGGTACGTGGGATTGTCATCGTTAGTTTTTGTGTACAAAAATCCCAAAAACAATAAAGAGAAATACCTAAAGCACTTAGATTGCGTTCAGGATAAATTCCATTAAACAAATTTGGATATCTGATAAATTAGACTCACCCAATTGCCTGACTTGTTTTTGTATATTGTATGGTCAACTAAAATCTTTAAGGATTCTTAAGAATCGGCAATGCTCACCTCTGGTGTGTGGGCATCCATAAGTAACCGTTTACCGTCAAATGGGCCGTATGCCTATTACCACCACTGTGTTAAATAAACAAGAATGAAAATTCCATGCGGAAACTTAAACGATATTAGAACAATACCATATTTACATGAGGATATTTGAGACCTTATTAGCAACGTGACAGATGTAGGTAAGGTTTATTTATTGTTAATCCAGATTCTAATTCTACATTTGTTAGAAGCCAGCTTTGCAAATGCAGACCTACTTCATTTAAGTAAGATATTGATTATATTTGCATACTAACTGAACCCACATCTGTACATATCTTGGAAAATATTAGTTAAATTTAGTACACCGGTATTTGTTCTAGCTTTTGTTATGTGTCTAGGACTCTTGATTGTCTCTGGATTGTGAAATTCATTATATTTCGAGAGATTTATAATTGTATAAGTTTTACGGTGGTTAAAATTTTTTAATAAAATAGTATTTTGTTTTATTGATTAATATGTGTTATTTAGTCTATACGATACATGGTATCGTGTCGTATGTTGGACGGCATTTCCGCATTTAGCCTCTCATTTGGGCCGTTGTGTGACTCTATGCAATCCTATATGGATTGCATAGAAACACACATTCTTCATCTTTCAATCAACATTCATTCATTCATTCATTCAATCAACATTTATAAAATAAGTACGACTCTAACTTTTTAGATGGCGCAACAGCCAAAGTCATAATTAATTAAATAACTTTCAGTTGTATATTTTTTTTCTTTATCTGTCTGTCTGTTTTTCTTACGAGTGTAAGTCCAGCCTAAATCGATCCAGTTATTTCAGAGAAATCTCTGAAATGGCTGGGACTTACAATCGCAGATGGCTAATGTCATTTTTACTACTCTACATTATTTTAATAGTAATATTTTATATATTACTTTTGAGTTATGGTAAAGAAATATTATTATTATTATTATATAGGCGACGTTTCTAACTTCCCATCAGGTAGGCCCAGAATATTTGTCATTGAAGTGACATAAAAAATCGTGATAATAACAACTAAATCAATTTGTGAAACGTAATGATGATGAAAGTGTATGTAAATATTCAAACAGTCACCCTATCAATTCTTCTCCATTTACAAGATTGCGTATGTATGTACATAAAAACGTTGGCACAACACACAAAGGTCAGATAAAGTATTTCTCAAATCCACAAGTAGATACGTGTTTGGGTTCTCGATAATCTTCCTTGTATTGAGTTGTTTACGCAATTATTATATTTCTGTAACAAGCAGTTATGTGATTAAGTTGTGAGTTATAAAAAAAAACAACCTTCAGTATTTTATAATAAGACACATTAATAAAGGTTGTCAATTAATTATGTATTAATATTTTTAATCGTGTTTACATTAATATTTTTGTGAATTATCACGTATTTAAGTAGTACTAATATGTATTTTATTATTATAACTATTACTGTGTAGTGATACATAGAGATACTTTGTATGTAAGTACAATGTTTATATAACAATAATAACCCTATTCAATTCACACAACGCTATTTAGTGCCGTGCTAAGCAGAGCTTGTTGTATGGATACAAGACATCCTGTATATATATTATTTTGTATTTTGTTTTTCTCAGGACAATTCACACAGTGCCATCTAGTCCCAAGTTAAGCTAGCTAAAGCATGTGTTTTGGATACTAGATAACTGATACAAATACATAGATGCATTTTTTGTAAATACATACATGTTATACATAGAAAACACCCATACTGATACAAACAATCTTACTCATGAATACAAATGTTTGCACTGTACGTGGAATCGAACCCGCGAGCATCGGAGCTAAAGCGGTGTGTTAACAGCTAGACCACCGAGGCTGATAATATAAACATAAACTACAAAATAAATTTTATATTCCTACTAATTTTCATATAAATTGGATCAAGAAATGTCGTATGTTGTAATAGGGTAATTAAAAGAGATACTGAACAGCATGTTGCAATAATTTTAATAATACTCTTCTATTTGGAATATATGTATATATGAAAACAGCGATATTAAAGTAAAAATAATTCGAGAGACTGCGGTAGTCTAGCCTCCTGCCAGATAATATTTAATTAAATAAATAAATTAAATAACAACCAAGGACAATTAACACAGTGCCATCTTGTCCCACGGTAAGCAGAGATTGTGTTATGGGTACTAGACAACAAATATAAATACTTAGATATTTTATTTGTAAATACATACATAATGTACATAGAAAACACCCGATACAAACAACTATTTACTTCCGATGGTCGCGGGTTTGATATTTCGCGTGGTGCAATAATTTGTTTTCATGAGTATGATTGTTATTATTATGTCTTTTATTGTCTATTATTTGATATAGAAAATTATTGTATATTGTAATTATTCTTCTATTATCTACTTTACATAAATAAAACCCGTTTTTCATTTCTTTTACCAGCATAATAATAATTTCAGGACAATTGACACAGCGCTATTTAGGCCAGATGGCGCTGTATCAATTGTCACAGCACGCTGTGGCAAGTTAAGCTAAAGCTTGTGTTATGGGTACTAAACAACTGCTATAAATACATAGATGTATTTCTTTTTGTAAAAAGAAATTATACTTATGAATACAAATGTTTGTGCCGTGAGAGGAATCGAACCTGCGACCATCGAAAGTAAGGCGGTGTGACCACTGAAGCCTTCATAATAATATGAAAACAGTCCCTTCGCTCACACCTGTAAATTATAATATTAATAGACGTGTGATCACAGCTTTACACGTCATATGTAGTGTTAGAAAATCTCTCAAGTTGTTCCCATTTCACTAAGCTAGAGACGCATCCATTTTCACGATAACGCCCTACTCTCTTAAATATGTTTGCTCTTGGGTCTTTGCTTCATTTAAAAAAATATATATTTTATTTCCTTCAATTACACACATGAAAGCTTAGGTAATCTAGTCGCTTAAAATATATACTTTACTTGTGATGATTCTCAACATTTTTATACAAAATATTGTAGGCGTTTTTATTCACCTTAAATATTGACGAAATTTTAACACCATGAATTAGAAACCGAATTTTTTGTTATCATAATGGTTAATGTGGGGGGTGATTTTTCTTTAGTGACTTTTGCTATAATAAAAACACCTAGGTATACATCGGGTCAATGTCTCAATCCCATAAATATAGTATGGTCTCTCCCCCTCACTCTTATAAACATAAATTCATTTCGAAATTCATATAATATTAATATCTTTATTGTGCACTGAGAAAAAAAATACAATAGAGAAAACCTATATAAGAAAGAAATAACAAAAGGCGGTCTTATTAGTATATGCAATTTGATACAGACAATGTGGAATAGAGCAGTTGTATACATTGAAACCATAGGTGGCAGACACAAGGCATTATATTTACAAAACGAATAAGCAAACATACATAATATTAGCATAAATATATAAGCTTACACATATCATATGTATAATAAAAGGAATCCTACTCCCCTTATTGATCGGATTCTGGATGATAATGGAATAACGCACCCGCCTGCGCCTAGCGAGGCACCTGTGGAGGATAAGATGGACATGAAGTCAGGTCAGTTAGCCCACCGTGTCAAATTAATCAGGAAATTATCATGATGGGAAACGCGTGGTGGTCAACCTGACATGGTACATTGGTAGCAATGAGATCATCAATCCACATTAAAACTAATATTCCTCTTCTTCGTACCACATACAGCTGGGCCATCAGCTTGTTAGCCATTTGAATTACATAAAAGAAAACATAATTATATTGTAGCTTAATATCCAAAGTGTTTATTACAAAACAATGTTTAAAAACCAACTCTGTTTAGTGGCAATACGATTAGTTTAAGAACACCGTTCTATTTTAGACTTCATTCCTAGAAATTATTACCATCCATGCATGCCTAAGGAGGATTGACATCAGGTAGGAATGAATTGTATGAATGAAATTGAGCAAATGATGAATTGATACACGATTAGTTTAACAACACCATTCGATTTTAGACTTCATTCCTATCAATTATTACCATCCATGCATAGGGTTGACGTCCGATAGGAACGAATTGAATGAACGAAATTGTGCGGTCGAATGATGAATTGTTTAAAGAACTCATAGGAACCTCCTGGTGACCTACATAACCTACCATAACGTGTGACTCCTCGTTACAGCACAGAATCCTATGGCCACTAGACCATCCACAACAAACTGGTTCTGATTACTTGCCAATGAATACTAACTTAGAAGGGACACTTCATACATACCATCCATATATATGTGCTATCCTAAATTAGTACTATTATAGTGAAAGTTTATCTGTTTGTCTTTCCGTCAGTCTTTTTCGTTATATATTACGTAAGTGATACATGAAACTGACCTGATTTTTATTAAATTTCCATAATCGATATAATATGGTCCAGTGATCGTCTTCGATAAATAAATAATAGTTTAATAGAAATATATGTATTTTTATATAATATTTTATTTTATACTGAAAACTTTTTTGTCTTATTCGTGACAGAAACATTTAAAAAATAATAATTATTGAACAATTTTTTTACAATTATGTTGTATTCAAAATCGTTTAATTACTATTTTTTTTTGTGTAACAATTATTTATTATTTCTTTTAGTGACAAATAAATGCAAGCGACCGTACTTATTATTAACATATTATATTTTACTAATATGTGAATGGTTGGATGGATATTTGTTAGTCTTTCACGCAAAACTGCTGAATGGATATAAATGAAACTTTACAATAATATAAGCTTATACATCAGAATATATAATTATATAAGCTATAAATTTCACGCGGGTGAAACCGCGTTCACAGCTAGTGTTTAATAAACGATGTTCATAATGGATCAGTGTAAAGAAAAATAGAATACTTCAAATACTGTCACGTCTATTCTAATATTTACTCTTTGTCTTAACCAGACGAGCAGAGAGAAAGCGATATCGTTGGCATCGACTTTTTATTTATTTTGTTGAGAGACATCCGCATGATTGGTACACTCGGAAATAATATAATGTTATCACAGTATTACAATATTATTATATTTCTTTAATGTACTAGTTATGAGTAGTTTTTTTTGTATGTATGGTATTTTACATATATTATACATGTTGTGGACTATGATAATTATTGCTGGCCACAAATAAATAAAAAAAAAAAAAAAGTTAAAATTTAATGACATAAGAAAATATATGATTGTTATAATTTATTATTTTATTAATATATTATCCAACACATAAACTGGCGACCGTGCAGTATAATACAATATGCAGAGAGCTATAGAGGAGAGAAAATTGGCCCGAAGATTCTTTAGTAGCGCAGTAAGTAAATTAGAAGAATCTTTAGTCAAAAAGGATAAAGATGCCTCCGAAATCAATTTCGCTAATCTTACCGCCAAATATGAAAAGTTGTCTGCTATTAACAATAAAGTATTAGATATATGGATAGATTTGGTAGACAGAGACGAAAGCGAATATGAAGAGGATATTATATCAATTGAGAAGTATAATGATAAATGGTTTTTGATGCAAAAGAAATATAAAAATGCATTTGATATTACGAACAGTTGCAAAAGTAATATTGGAAGTGAAATTCAAGAGAGTTGCGCCCAGGATGCCGTTGTAAAAAATATCTTGCGGCTTCCTAAGCTTCAGCTTCCTCGTTATGATGGTGATGTGAAGAAGTGGATAGGCTTCTGGGGGATGTTCCAAAAGATCCATGAAGATTCCAGCATAGATAATAATATGAAGTTCCAGTACCTACTGCAATCGATGGAACCAGGATCTCCTGCCGCAATACTAGTAGAAAGCTTTCCGCCTTCAAGTGCTAATTATCAGAAAGCTATAAAACAACTAAAAGAAAGATATGGTCGTGACGATCTTTTAATTGAAATATATGTTCGTGAGCTGTTGTCCCTAGTTCTGGATCAATCAAGAGGGAGTGCTACGCCAATTGGAGTATTATATGATAAACTTAAAACTCAATTGCATGCTTTAGATAGTTTGAATGTCACTACAGATAAATACGCGTCTATGTTACGTCCTTTAGTCGAGTCCGCTATGCCCATAGAACTGCTTCGTATTTGGGAACGAACTCAATCTAGTAAAAAGGATCAGTCTGACA